CCCAGTGGAAAAAAAAAAAATTAATGAAAAACACAAATAGATTTTTTTTCCAAATGGAAGTTCTGCATCTTGTTTTAAAAGTGTTCCTGACAGGCTGCAATTTCATGCAAGAGCTATATTTTTAATCATAATATAAAACCAATTTTAACTCCAGTCTTTCAAAAATCAACTAAGCAGGCAGTAATTTACTAAATTTACTAAAACTGAGTTTTATGGGATTCAATGCAAGTTAAAATGTAGAAATAGATGATAAGTCTAAATTTCAGTTTAGGAAGTTTTACCTGCACATTCAAGTTACAGTCAAAACAAGTCTTTTCATCTCACTTTTTCATACCATAAACACTTCCATATTTTCTGCTTCCTACAAAGGATTTCCAATTGCCATTCAATAACTCATGTCCAGAACACAACTTTGAGATACGCCCTTATTTACCAACATGGGGAAGCTAGTGCATAGCTAATCAGGATGTAACTTTCCAGCCCACTAGGTTCTCTGAACTAGTTCCTGAAGAGATATTCATAATTTATTAGCCTATCAGTTCAATGTTAAAGTAGTTTAAAGCAGCTCAATGCACTTTCTAAATGGAGCAAGTCGCATTGCCCAGGCTCCTACAACGCTGCCGGTAACATCAGCAGTGATCAGTCACACAGATGAGGGACCCAGCGGGGCTCTGGACACACCATTTCAAGTTGTGCCTGCCATGGGTTTACCAATTTTGGAAAATCTCTCCTGAGCTGCAAGAGGCCAGGCTGCTGTATGGCACTGGCAGGTGCCAGCAGAAGACACTAGCAGTCCTTTTCTAGAGCTTCAGTCTGGATGGTGCCTGGTGGAACCACAGATCTGATCCTACTGTGCACTCTAGGGCTCAGAAAAGGCAGGCTGAAATACACTCAAACAGAGCCACTACACTGCCTGTAGCCTGACTGCACCCAGGTCTTCCATTTTCCTCTACAGAAGGCAAAAAATGGATACTTATTTTGTTTGGACCATGCCAAAACTTAAATCAGTCATTTGACCTCAGCATTAGCCCTGCAACCAAATGCCAGGTACATACAGCATTTGTCACCTGCTCTTTCCCCTTCAGGCTTGGTGCCAGAGCTTTTTGATGTGATATACTGGCCCCAAAGAGGGCTCAATAATCCCTGAACAATGGAGAAGGGCTGCTTGCAAAAAATTGGTTTAAGCAGCTCAATGAGACCCTGCAAGCTGTCTTGCCGTGTAACCAGCAGAGAGATGCCAAGCCACTTAAAGAGAATCTTTCTTGCTGAAACCCTGACATTTGCCAATGGATAAGATCATATTCATAAGGCTTTTCAGCATACATAAGATGAGATGTGACAAAGGGCAGAGATAGCTAAGCTTTAGAGACACAAGCTTTTCCAAATTATCTGGATTTAACCAACTACTTCGTAGAGTCATTGCTACTTTGCTGACAAAAGACCGTGTAGACATGTGAACTAAGAACCACCTTTCTCACGACATTCACAGTACTGAAAAGCTGCTGGTCCAGTGGCTTTTACTTTGAAAGATAATTCTATTTGCTGACACAAATATAAAGGTCACATATACACCAGAAATGATAACAGAGATGTAAATACACACATTTGGATCAGATCAAAGACACCTTTTATTACCCTTAGATGAGGCCTGACAATAATTATCAACAGAAAAAAACACAATTGACACCCTACAAAGCAATAACAATTTGCCTTTTCAATTTATTATTTCCTCATTGCACATGTAATGCTAAAATAAGATTACTTGTGTGCACAGATGGAAAAACAAAAGGTGGGACAAGGCCCACATTTAGCCATGTCCTGCTGAGTATCCTGGACATATCAATGCTTTACCAAAAAGTGCCTCCTACTACCTCTGCAGTTTGTGACATGAGACAAAGCAAGAAAGGCCATAAGAAATTTTAACTTCTGATTTTTGCAAAGCTTGAAGAGATAGTTTCTGCAAACATCTGGGACGAGCATAAAAAACTATCTCAAATTGGACCACAGAGTGAGGGGAAGTAAGAAATACAAAGACATGTACTTCAGCATGCTCATTTTTCTGTTTTAAATACGTAATAAATGCTTATGTTAATATAAATGATCTTTAAAGAAGCAGGCAGCTTAAAATAGTCAAGAGCAGGGAAATTAAGGCACATGAGATCTAAACAGTTTAATAGGCAATAATAGCTGAATCAGTATGCAACAAGATCTTGTAATGCATTAAAAAGTGACAATTCTTGGTCGTATAAGTGATAGTTTAGAAGATGCCTTAATCAAGAAAGAAAAATTATTTACTGAACTTCTCAAATGTCAAATTAAGCTTCTTCACTAAATGTTCATTAACTGCCAAGAAAATTCTTATTAATTTTAAAGCACTATGAATGCACTCACACAGAATGGCTTTATTTGATGCAAGCTTCGTTTCTTGCAAAGTGATGTCTCCCTTCCTCTGATGAAGTGATATTAGAAAAGATCTGAGTACCTCTTTTATCAGATCAGATTTTAAGACACGGGAGAGATCCTATCCCCCTGCTCAGACCAAAATACTAACCTGAGTGTCACATTACCAGCGCCTTAAAGTCTCCCTAACTTCCAGGGTGTTTTACCACGCTTCACATTTCAGCTGTTTGAGATGGCAACACCTTACACGAAATGTTTGCCAGCTCATCTCCCCAGTCTGAGGGTGGCATAAAACCACGTAACTCCCCATTCATACCAAATACACACTGAGTCACCAGCAATTCAGAAGTTAAAAAGCAACAAATTGCACAAATGCTGGCTGTTCCCTTCCTCTTGTGATTGCCAGCTCTGATTCTGTTGATGAGCTAGGAACCTCCTTGAAACTCTGCTTAACACACTCAGTATTATGCCCCACAAGAAAACTGCTCACCTATTTATTTTTTTTTCTGCAAATATGGAATTTTCTGAGCCTTCTCCATGCCAAATCAACCTTGGAAAAATACTCTGATGCCAAATATCTGAGGTATATATGAAGTGAAGATCCCTTTCTGCAGCTAGGAGTAGGAATTTACAACTTGGCCCCCTTTCATTAATTGGATTTTGCTGTCTTTTGTGTGAATGGAAGCATAGGAAAAAAAAATCTTACTCGTGCCTGCATAGTCATTAAGGCTTCTCTTATGGACAGTGGTGATGTCTGAGAGAAATTAGGCTCAACTAGCAACCAGCAAGATGAAATTCAAGTGGTCACTTTCAGATATATTGAGGGGGTTTATAAAAGAAAAGGGGAAAAAAAAGACCCGAAAACAAAAAACAAGGAAAAGAATCCAGAGTGTCACCCCTCAGAGCTCCCACTGTGCTCACCACAGCAGCTACTGCAGATGTTAACTCTACACATTCAAGTCTCCACTCCACTTTGGCAGCTGCTCCAGCTGTGCAAAGCAAACACAATGCTAGTGCTGCAACAGGCAGGTGCCTTCAGTCTCTCTCCCAGATGCTTTCCAACAGGACTTTAAAAGATAAGAGCCCATAATATCAGTGAGAAGCTGCACTGATCAGCCCAGAAGGTCTAGTTTTAACAGTGGACTCACATTTGCTTATGAAAAAAAATAAATATTTCAGCAGGCAGAAAAGTTGTAAAACCTCAAGAGCCACAGAGCTAAATTTCTACAATAACTTGACCTTATAGAGAAGGCTACAATATAGCCTAACTTCATTCAGCATCTCACTTCAGAGAAGCTCAGATAGAACCTGGCAGATAACACAGCAAATCCCAAAGACAAAGGAAAGAGAGGTCTGTGCGAGAAAAGAATCCCTCATGAGAGGGAAAGTGCAAAGAAATAACAGATGCTACTCATGAATAAGGTAGAGAGACCGGAAAACTGCAGCAACAAGGGTAGAGATCACATTACCATTAGACACATTCTGGCTTACCAGCACAAGCCAACAGTTTTGGAAGGAAATTAGGAAGAAAATTAGGATTTTTGGTAGCATACAACAGGTGATATTTAAACAAGAACACTACTACCCAGCTAAACCACCAGGATCTCAGTCTTAGTGACTGCTGTATGCGTACCTGTGTTGCTGTTTTGGCAGAGTATATAAAAATAAGCTGCATCTGAAGCAAATGACTTTGGCAGCTGCTGTCACTCCTACAGTACTGCCCCTGCTACTCACATAGTACAGCTGTCCTTACAGTGCAGCCTGAAACTACTACAGGCACCAGAACATATTTACTACACACCAGAACCGCCATGTAACTTTACAATGTTCATTCAATTTACAGCAAGTAAAGAAAAAGGGATCCACTGTTCTTCAAACATTAAGTTTCTGCAGTTTCCTTTCAAATATATGGTTTTGTTCAAAGATTTTTTTTTTTAACCAAATTAGTGCTAATAATTTGGATGACCCACAAATGTAAGAAGAGACTTCTCAAGCTGGGAATAAAAGCTTTTTCACTGTTTCATCCATATTTAGGGTAAAATATAAAAGAAACTTATTAGTGCTCTTTTTTGACAGTTTTCATAGAAGAGTCACAGTTTGAGATAAATGAAGAAATTGTTATCAAGGATATTGATCCTGTGGGAGAGGGGGAGAGCCATCTGCAAACACTTTTACTATTTTCTGACTCAGCAATCAGCTTCCATTCACAACACTAAGGACTTCCTCATTTCTTAACCTTGCAAATTTTATTTCTGCACTTTCTAAGCTCCTCTGGCAGCTCATAGTTCATCCACAGTCCCAACTTTCATAAACATATGGTCAACTTTCACTTTTCATCAATGATGCAAGTCCTTCCTCTCCATGAGGATAAAGAACTTGATAACACATTTAAAAAACAGGATTAATTTCTCCCTCACTGAGACCTTTTGTTCCAACGCAAATCGCTATATTGCTATATGTCACCATTGCTCTGGTGCCTGATAAAAAAAATTAAACATTTATATTATAGGCACCCCTCTTTAAAGACCACTTATTTCAACAACAAAAAAAACCCAAAAAACACTGCTCTGTTTTTATGACAACTGTTGCAAAGTCTGTACCTTATTAAGCCATCCTGGCTGTGCTACTGCTGCGCTGTAACAGAAGGAGGTTACGGGGAGATCCCACACCTGCGAACCGCCCCTGCCTCTTTCCCCTCGCCCCGAGGCCCCTCTCCTCGCCAAGCCCGGGGATCCCCGAGATGGGGAGGCTGCGGGAGCCCCCGCCAGGCGAGGAGAGTGCTGAGAGCCGGGAGCGGGGCAGAGAGCGAGCCGCTTCCCTCCTGCCAGCCCTGTCCGAGCCCCCCCGCCCGCAGCCCGGCCGGAGCGGCCACAGAGGCGGGACAAGGCGGCTGTGTCCCCAGCCTTTACCCTCCATCTCGGCGTCGCGCTGGCACCGGGGAGGAGCGGGGGCCGCTCCCGCTGCGCCCTGGCCNTAAATACCCTCGGCACCACCGGGCAGCTATAAATACCCTCGGCACCGCCGGGCAGCTATAAATACCCTCGGCACCGCCGGGCAGCTATAAATACCCTCGGCACCGCCGGGCCGCTATCAATACCCCGGCACCCCCCGGGCCGCTATCAATACCCCGACACGGCCCGGGCCGCTATCAATACCCCCGACACTCCCCGGGCCGCTATCAATAGCCCGACACGGCCCGGCAGCCGCCCCTCCCGCGGGGTAGGGCGGCCCGGCACCGCCACCGGGCAGGGCTGGCAGCGAGAGCCCGGGGCTGCCCTCCGTGCCAAATGCAGGGGTTGTGGATGTCGCTGCTTGTGATAACGCGCTTGTTTCGTGCATGAAAAGCCTGACCCGGTGCCTCGCCGGGGCACCTTTCACAGAATCACAGAAAATTCTGAGCTGGAAGGCATCCACAAGGATCAAGTCCAACCCTTACCCCTGCACAGGACACCCCCAAGGATGGATGTCCTGTGCCCAGGAGCGCTGTCCAAACGCTTCTTGAACCGTCAGCTGCTGTGACCACTTCCCTGGGGAGCCTGTTCCAGGGCCTGGCCACCCTCTGGGTGACGAACCTTTTTCTAATATCCAACCTAAACCACTCCTGGCACGACCTCAGGCCATTCCCTCGGGTCCTGTCACTGTCACCACAGAGACGAGATCAGCGCCTGTCCCTCTGCTTCCCCCCACGAGTAAGCTGCAGACTGCAGTGACTCTCATTCTACTCCTCCAGACTGAACAGAACGAGTTTTAAGGGCTCTGGATGGGTTGTGGCTGACATCCCTGTTCCAGTTCATTCCAGGACACCTGCCCCGTTCAGCACAACATAGGTTTTCTTAATCCTCATCCCCCGATTTCCACCTAATTACAGCCTCTTAAAATAAATTTCCTCCTCATTATTACCTTTTAAAAGGAAAAGCTAAACAAACTTTGTTTCTGTGTGCTGTTGTCACAGAAAGTTCTGGAAGTATCCAAAACTTAACTACCAACGCCCCCAAAATTTTATGACTTCCTTTAAAATTCAATTCTGACTAAAATTTGACAGAGATGTTTGGAAGTGGTGAAATATATGCATGTGAATTAAATATCTATTCACAGTAGTATCTTAATTTTTCTTATTTGCAGGGAAGCAAGTGTAGCTCTTTTGTAGCTTAACAGCAGATTCTACCAAGACATTAATAACTTGTACAATTGGAAAAGGTAATTTTGTAGCCCAATAGATATCCTACATTGCAAAAGATAAGTATTTGAACCTCATTTTGATAGATAAAAAGGATTGGTATCACTAAATTAAGAGTTTGTGGTTGCCTGGGAACAAGCAATTGTGGTCTGGATGTATTCATCATGGGCAAATGAGAGACAGCCCCAATCAAAACTATGCATTTCTGCTGCTTCAAAGAGCTAATTTCCCCAAACTGAGAAAAACAATAGGGACAGCCGACAAGGAAAAAGATATTTAGTGTGAACATCAAAAGAGGGGCTCTTGTAAAGCCTCTATTTAATGGACATTAATCTGAACCACTACACAATCAGAGAGAGCAGTAACTTTATCGTAAAACCCCAAAGGTGGCAGTCAGAAGGCAAATAGAAAACAAAGATAAATTATACAAATTACAGTTGCTATAAATTGCAAGTTACAATATAAGAAATCAATAATTTAATAGGCAAGAAAAAATATCCACGGTTGTGATAGCTAAAGACAAACAGGACTTTTAAAGCATGTTAGAAACAGAAAGAAACCCCAGTGATGATGCTGCCCCATGTAATAAATGTAGTTCCTAAGTGGTTTTGTGCTGATGTGTAAAATGTAAACATGTTCTATAAGTACTTCTGTGCGACAAAAGAAACAATTTGATGTATCTCTAGGGGATTATGAAGAACTGCTTCAACCTGCTAGTAATAAAGAAAGATAACAATCACGATTTGTGAAATTCTGAAGGGGTGTTAATCTTATACCAGTAGTCGAAAAATGAGTAAGTGCAATGAGAAGAAAATACAGGCCAACACTGGCACCCTAAATAATAAAGGGAGAAACATTTAATTTAAAAATATTTCAAAGTAATTAACAGAAATAATTCCAGTCTGTTTTAGAAGACCAGGCCTAATCAAACTTCTCTAAATTCATTCTTCAATTAGATTGCTTGTTAAGTCACACTTGTTTGGAACTGATGGTTCAGATTTTAAGTCTGGAAGAAAACGTGGTACCCCATGATATCATGAAAGCAGCTGTTAAATTGGCTAGGCTTTGCCTAAATGAGTGATGACAAAAAGCAACAAAATGTAAAGGAACCTTCTTTGTATGGGCATGTCTCTCTGAAAATGACCTCAAAAGGAGAAAAATGGGAGAGGTACCAAGCAACCAGGTGAAGTAGTCTGAATTAAGTGGTGAACTGGACCTTGTAAAACAAACTACATCTACTATAGCTAAATCCCTGTAATAAGCTTGAAGGATTGTAGGTGTTGTGTACTGAGTGGGTGATGGCACTCTCTGGAAGCGATTTAGGGGCTGTAGTCACCAACTCTCCTAAACACTGACTGTGGTGTTGCTAAAAGGAAGGATTAACCTGCATCAAGGGAGTAGAAAATAGGGAACATAGTTTTCTCTCTGGATATATCACTGATGACACCAATCTTGCATACTGTGTTCCTGCCCATGTTTTGGAAAAAAAAAAAACAAAAAGTAGAAAAATAGTAGAGGGGGCAGATTAAGAGCTGAAAATGTGATTTGAGAGTTGAAGAAAAATGCTGCTAAGTGAGATGTAAAGAGCACAATCTGTTTATCGTATCAAAAAGATTGACTTGATTACAGCATATAAGTACCTTGATGCAGAAAAAAAATACTGTATTCTGAAGGGCTCTTTAATCTAGTGAAGAATGGCATAACAAGGAGCCGTGGTAGAAACTGAAGTCAGACAAATTCAAATGTAGCACAATTTTTTTCTTTTTAAGGTGACAACACATCACTGGAGCAGCTAATAAAGGAACCAATAAATTTTTAATGGTTTTATATCCCTCAACCAGGACAAGACGCCTTTCTGGAAGACAGGTTTTAGCCAAATGCAGGCTATTGCTATTGTTCTCACTGCTTGTACATGTGTGAAATTTAATGACACAGGATACAGAGATCAGACCATATGACTAAATGGTCCTCTGTGTCTTACTTAATTTTTTCTTCTTATGCTAAGTAATTATAAGAAGGGCTGGCTACTGGTGAGCATCTGCTCAAGATGATATTCTTTGTCAACTGACTGCAATCAGTCTGAAAAAAATGACTACCCTGAGTGTGTAGGATTCTAAATGATCGCAGTACATAAGACTTTCTTGGCAAGCAGCATATGAAATACCAAAAGACAATCAACATTAGTCACCTATTTTCCTTTGTCAGTGCACTAGCTGACAAGATTTCAATCCGTTTGTGTCAAAAAGGAGCTCAGAAGAGCTTAAGGAGAAGCTGAAGGAAAGGGCAGGAGTATGAATCCATTAAAAACACTGGCCATCAGACTTAGGTAACATGATAATTAAAAACAAACTTTGAAATGCTGGCAGGCAAACCAAACAACTAATTAAATATGCAATATTACAGTGGTAAATATACATCAGTTTTAAATATTTATTAATTTATTGCCCAGTTTGTGCATAAATGAATCAAGTTACCTCACCTGAAGCTGTGATCCCCCATAATGAGCTGTGGTATGCAGTGAGGACTAAAAGGTTTGACACGAGTAATGTCTACATCTCTGAAAGCAGTCAGGACCACACAACTGAATTGTGTTGCTATTGTAAACTATTGAGAACTGGATTAAAATATTAACGAATTAACATTCTTCTTAAATTGTTGTATTTGTCAGGATGTGAACTTGCATCTTCTCTCTGCTGCTTACCAAGATGATACAGCAAAGTTACAACATATACTTTCTGATATTACAAAGCTGAAAGGTCTCAGTGGCCTTTCTGAGCTTGTTACCTGTCCCCCTGCCTGAAGCTTATTCTCTGAGCACAAAACCTTTTCAACAAGCCAGGAACCTACTCTAAACTATGCGGAACCCCAATGCTGTAAACAAATAGTTAACACAGAAGATTAGAATAACAATTAATTCTTTACTGAAGGAAGAATTGTGTTGAAGAGGGAAAGTTCATTTTGGAGATAAGATGTAACTTTTTTTCCAAATCCACTACTCTGAAATTCAGAGCAAGGGTGCTTTCCAAACAAAAAACTTAATTTTATCCAAAAGAGGCTCAAAGATTTTTTAATATCTAATACTGGTATGCAAACTGTAATACCATGTGATTGGTCCTGACTTTTTACAAATTATTTAGAAAAATACCAGGGCCCTTAGATGGTCTTAAAGATTGAAGCTACTAAAATTAGTGTATACTCTACAAATCTAACCTGGAAGGTGCATAAATTAGGGTTTCAGCTCTTCCTCTGTCTTTTCCCTGGAAGAAGCTGTGGGCTCCATTTTTAGAATAAAAAATAATTGACAGCTACAAATTAAAAAAAAAAAAAAAATTGCTACAGGATCCCTGAGCTTGTGAAAATCAGATCCAGATCCTGGGGCATTAATAAATGAAGTGTCATGGTCACCTCCATTGGTGTCAACATCACCTACGGAACTCAAAGATTAGTAGTCTGGTGCAGGTAACTGAGACAGGGAAGAAAAAGCATTAAGGAGTTGAAGGGCATTCATTACCTTTGTGAAGCC